TGTTGGTGTATAGGGTTCCCAAATAGCAACTGGTTTGAATTTGTGGTTCCAAGTCCAAAGCTTATCCTACAGAGCCACACAAGGAATTTTTATATAGTTAGGACTCCTAATGTGGTGTTGTGGGCTAATGCACTAGACTGCAAAGTCGTTTGAACTACAGGTCAGTGGTTCAAGCTCACCAGCTGCTCCTTGAAAACCCTCTACAGGGTCGCTATGGGTCGGAACTGACTTGACGACACTTAACAACAACAACATATATAGGCTTATGATTGGTTACATTTACATTGTTACATGTCTTTTACCCTTTTAACTTGAATATATTTTAACAAAAATTTTACTTTGTCAACTAGTGATATTGCCATGCTTGCTTTCTTTATGGGGTAAATATGCTGCATTTTCGAGGAGACTTTCACCCTCATTTGTTATATTTCCTTTCATGCAAAGAAACATCTATTATTAGAGGAATACTTAATTTTGTTTCAGTGCATCTGTTTCCTCTTAAAAGTTACTAAGGAGCCCAAAGATATTTTGGTTGTGGGAATTATGCCTATTAATATTATTATGTTAGAAAATATATCAACTTTTAAAAATAGTAACTATTTACTTATTTTAAATGAGTAGTAATAACTCCATTGTATGCTAACACTAATATATTAACACATTTTTATGAAAAACAACTTTTTCCACAACAAAAATAATTTTGTAGGAAGAGTGATATTGTTTTGTATCTTCTCAAGCTTCTAGAAGATAGCTCTATTCTCATATCTGCTTCTAAATTCAGCCAGTTGCAAAATCACATGTTATGTACCCTCTGAAACACTTTACTGTCCACACAAGATGATGAAAAGGAAAATAAAATTTATGGGCCCCAGCCTGGGAAACACTGAGAACTTTTGCATGAGAGTAAAGATCTGGTTTCTCTCTGCCTCCTCAGTTAACATTTTGGTAAGAAATATGGGGTATTTGTCACCCTATTCTTTGTTTCTCCCCTTTTTTTCTTTGGATAATGAAAGAAAAAATATTTTTGTATTGTAGTCTGCATTTTTATGTCCTAAGAAGCCTGTTTAGGAAGGATTTGGTTATTTAACAAAGCCTGTGGCTTGAAGTCCTGTTATAACACTGTAGAATAAAGCACTGGACCACAAGCTTTGCCTTAACCCAAAGGTTGGCAATTCAAACCAACCAGCTGCTCCTCCGAAACCCTACAGAGGGTTGCTATGAGTTGAAACTGACTTGTTAGCACTTAACAATAACATGGCTTGGTGAAGGAGTTCTGGTAACATGGTAGACTGCTAACAACAAAGTTAGTGTTTTAAAACCATCAGTCACTCCACGGGAGAATGATAAGGCTGTCTGTTCCCATCAATATTTACAGTGTCAGAGCCCTATGTAACAGTTCTACTCGTCCTATAGGGTTGCAGTCACCTTGATGGCAGTGGGTTTGGTTTTTTTGTTTCTAGGGTTCAATATTAGGAAGTTTACTATTGGTGCAGACTCAAGTCACATCATCCAGTTCAGCTTTTATTAGCAATAAAGTTGATATCGTAACCTCAGTTGGCCTGATTTCTTTTTCTCTAAATTGGTTCTAAACTCAGTCAGAGAACAAATTCATCAGTTTTGAAATAGTGTTATTTTAATGATGGTCAAAATAAGGAATAAATTTAATGTTTATTTAATGTTTTAAAAAGATAAAGGAACAGGATTGAAATTTTAGCAGTGGGTTTCTCAGGTACATTTGATGTAATTTAATCATTTTTCTGGCCACTGCTTGAATCTTTTTATAATTCACTACAGGATACATTTTCTGTAAATACATTAGAAGTTGTAGAATGATAATCTTCTGAACATTGTTATGTAATTGTCCTGTTTATAGTTATTTTGGTACTAATATTGTCAACATGGTTCTGTTAGTTCGCATTTTCTCCTTTCTTTCTTTGGAAATCAACACACAGAACTTGGAGCAATGAAAGGAAATGAAATAACTCCATTTTGAGAAAAATAGGCAGATATAATTCACAGATTCTAAAATATGTGTAGGGCTTACCAAAAGCAGCCAAGATTAGACAGAACTAGTACAGAGAGAAATGAATAGAAGTGTAGAGGTTGACAAAATAACTCAGCAGGGGCAGATAACTGGAAATGCCAGCAAACACACATTATAAAGAGGGCTGGCAAGACAGCAGTGTGGCAAGACCTGGGGACTGTTGGGCCCAGAGTCAGTGACATAGCCACAGAGGACTAGAGTGGAGAGTGAAGCATCCACCTGATAAGAAGAGAGGGCATATACATAAGAATACCCACACTTGCAGATAATACCCACTCGTCCTGGCTTCAGTGACTGGATGATCAGAGCTCAACCAGAAGTAAAAAGAAGAGGAAAAAAAAAAAAAAAAAAAACTATTATCATACAATTTGATGAACTTGACCTACACCTATGGAAGCAGTAGCTCAAAAGAGGGAACAAGTCCTTACAACAAGAATCATTCCCACCCCCTCCACACACAGAGTAGACAGGGATGGGCAACTTGGACATTGGCTACCCAAAACGGGGGGCGGGGGGCTACAAAGGCAAGAAGTAACTGGCTTACAAGCTTTCAAGAGGGAACCTAGATCCAGAGGACCTGGAGGAAGGTAGAATCTCCAGTGAGTAGTATTCAATCTGCCTAGGCAGGGCTGATGCAATGAAATGCAGATGTGTCTCTTGTGATACAATAGTGAATAATTGTTATCAGGACTGATTGTGAGGGTTGGAAATGTAAAGGTAGACGTTTTATAGCAAGGAGGGGAGTGATTAACTTTTCGGTCTAGGAGCGGAGGTCCCTAGGACCATCAAGGGAGAAGAGCAGAGAGCGGGACCCTACCCAGAGAAGCAGTGATGCCTGAAATGGAACCAGAGATGATGACGTGGAGCAATGGAGCAGCTGGAGACTTTAGATCCAGAGAGGGAGAGTGACTGTGTGCTGATGCATGGAGGGGATTGTAACCATGGCAATGAGATGATATACGATAGAATGAATGTAAAACTAATGTTCTCCCATGTAAACTATCACATAATTCACAATAAAACATTAAAAAAAAAAAAAAACAGAGGGCTGGCAGGAAAGGCAAAAATTGTATAAGATACATTCCTCACTATAAGTGATAGAATTACATGGAAGAAGAATGACATCAAAAGATTTCTTGGACCTAGTTTTATTTGAGAATTGGGGAGTAGGGTTACAGATGAGCTAAATTTTGTGGGTTACAGAACAGTCATTTCCTGTGGGAAAAAAGGAAAGAATACATTTAGATGAATAAGCCTAGAAAGCTACCATGGCCTTCCCCTTCTGGAGCTTTCTGCAACATATATGATCTAGGAAATTATATTCCATTCACAAATGAGTATTAAAATAACTGTTAGAACATCAATATGCTCTTAGGAAAACTTGACAGAGACAGAGTACATATGGAAAAACTTAAAGAAAAAGTCTATTAAAACAAAAGTACCATGGACTTCCAGAAGAACAAACAAATCTGTGTTGAAAGAAGTACAACCAGAATGCTTTTTAGAAGCCAGGATGACAAGACTTTGGCTCTCATACTTGGAATGTTATCAAGAGAGGCCAGTCTCTGGATAAAGACATTAAGCTTGGTAAAGTGGACAGTCATCCTCTTGAAAAAGAGGAAGACCCCCAACGAGATGGATCAGCATAGTCGCACCTGCAACGGACTCAAGTGTAAAAACAATTGTGAAGATAGTGCAGGACTTGGAAGTGTTTCACTTTATTGTGAATAGGATTGCTATGGTTCAGAACCTACATAACAGTACCTAATAACAACAGTGACATAAAAACAAAAACATAAGAGGACATAATTAAGACCAAACGTATGTTGTATCAGTAAATGTACACAGACTATTAAAGGATTGTCAGATTGGATCACAAGACAAAACACAACTGTAACCTGTATATAAGCAGTACACCAGAAAGATTTAATAAAATAAAATAAATGGGAAACACAACTATAAACAAAAATAAAATGGGACAGAAATACTAAAGGAGAATACTTCATAGGTGTACTTCAAAGTGAGGATGTAATAGCAGTAGCTGCACCGAACGAATAGCCTACCTACCATTCCAGGAGATAGAAACACATAGAGAATTATTCTAGGTAGAGAAAGACTTCATTCTCACAAAAAAAAACCAAACAAAACATCGGTGTCTCATAGATTCTGCAATAGTGTTTTTAGTATTCTTATTTTCTAAACATTCTACAATTTTTATATTCTTTGACCAAAGTTTAATTTAAGGAGTTTTAGTTTAGTTTTTTTAAATTTTAACTTTACAAATAGTAAAGTAAAAAATCATTTAGTTTACAAATTATTTTCTGATTAGCAACTAAACAGCAAGCTTTGGTGTGTAGTCTCAAAAATATCTGTTCGTGACCAAGGTCGTTTGGCACTCCGCATCTATTTTAGTCTCTTTCTAATGTGCTCCTGTATTATAAATGTTGGAAAGCTAAAAACTATTTCACAGACCCTGACAGCTAGGATCCTGGATATAAATTGGTGGTGGTGGTTTTGTGCCACCAAGTTGGTTCCAACTTGATTGGTTCCAAACCCTGTTTAGGGTTTCTGAGGCTATAAATCTTTACAGTAGCAGAAAACCCCATTTTTTTCCCCACATAGTGCTTGGTAGATTTGAACGACTGATTGAGGTAGCAGCCTAGCTCGTAATCCACTATGCTACCAGGGCTCCTGGATATAAATTAGTTTCCATTAACTGGATGGAGTTCTGCATGATTGGAAGATTCCCTGAGTTTCATTATATTAAACCCCTTCAGCTTAACATAGATAGAATGGTGACTTTCCTACAAATAACTGAGACTGATACATTCACAGTTTAGGATGTCTCATGCTAGCATTTGTTCATACTATATTTCTACTATATCACTATAGTTTTTTTTAACCTTAATAAGTAGATTTTTATATTGGTTAGCTTTTTTTTCCTTTTTCTTTTAAGCTACTACAACTAATTGCAAAATCCCAATTAACTTCATTGAGTGGTGTGGCACAAAAGAATTACTTCAACATTTTGGATAAAATCGTTCAAAAGGGTAAGATGATCACTGATGCTTTTAATAATCTAAACTTAATTACAAATGTGTGTAAGAATATGGGATTTCCAGCCTCCCCCCAGCAAATATGTTTTCAAAACCAATAATGACAAAAAAATGGGCTAGTATTAGGGATGCAAATTTATCCCTCCAATACTTAATGTTTTATGTCACCTTAGTTTACCTTTCTAAAAATTTGCTCTGAATACAAAGGGATATACTAAGCAAGAAAGATAGCTTAATGCCTGAATTTTAGAAGATATTTTATCTTTTTAATTTCTAGCCAATCACTGTTCATTTTAGTGTGATATTTGCATGATTAGCAAAGTTATAGCTTACTCACTTAGGCATTAAACAAGCCAGTAATTTCTTTAATGAGTTGTTATTTGATTACTTTGTTGTTGTTGCTGTTAAGTGCCCTCTAGTCGGTTCCAACTTGTAGTGACCCTGTAAAGGGTACCCAAGGAGCAGCTGGTAGGTTTGAACCATTGATCTTGAATTTAGCAGTCCTGTGCTTAGCCTACAGAACCATACTAGGACTTCAATTACTTAGTAGTTATTAATAAACAGAATTTTAAATTTCACACCAAGAATCTATGCATGTGTATCTATTTAACTATATATATATAATGATTTCTTTATGGTAAATATAAAAGAAAGCATAAAATGGTCACTTAAAAGCCAAAATTATTGAATGTATAGATTTTTTTTTTCAGTAGAACAGGTTTTGTTTACTTTGAATTGATCAAGTTTAACAAGTTCCAAGTTTTCTGAAACATATACATAGACTACTAAACTAGTTTAAGAAAGAGATTATGATTTATGATTCATGTTTTTAATAATTCTACCTTTACAAGTATCTGGTTTTCAGAAAGTCATATATTTATCAAAGATAAAAATCAAAAGTCTTAGGCTCCTTTAGGATATTTTTAAGAATGTCATTGTTGAGTGCCGTCAAATTGGTTCTGACTTATAACTACTCTATATAGGGTTTTCAAACTAAAACACATCAATTAACAAGGCACTTTAAAAAGTTACTTTGAAGTAACTTTTGTCAAAAAAAATTCAACATTCTTCTTCACAACAATGACTTAACATTGAATTACAAGAAATATTAACTAATATCAATTATAATCATACTCTGGTAAATATAATAGAAAACTTCATAATAAGAGAGACTGCAAAATTCAGATGTAAACCAGAGCTAGTATATTTGTTTAAATTTTGGGGTGCATTTATTTATTGTGGGAAGGTTTAAAAGCTTCCTTCTATCAATTATATGAGATTTGGTTAGTGTAAGTGAAGTTCAATAATACCTGTGCATTTTTCTTTTGATTCCCTAAGAGCATGCTTGTTATTTACAAATATGATTCACAAGTATAACCTTGTGAAAGTTTGTGTAAGTGTCCACATTTTTAATATCCATGGTAACTTTGTCATTTAGCATATTTATGTTACCTTGATAAAACTTGGTTGCTGGTATTAAGTGATGTCAATTTGATTCTGACTCACAGTGATTCAGTACAGGGTTTTCCAGGCTGTAAATCTTTGCAGGAGCAATTATAACTCATATTTCTCCCAAGGAACAACTATGAATGTATAGATTTTTATATGTTATCCAGTAAAATTATTTTTTTAGTTTTTTAAAAAATATTATATACTTGTGATATTTCAGAAATTGACGTTGCAGTGAAATGGTATAATTTTTAAAAGGGTGGTTTACTTCAGCACTCAACCCATAGCTTTTTCTTTGTTCCAGTCCTCAGTGACCACCAAAATCCTCGCCTAATAAAAGATCTTCTCCAAGACCTTAGCTCTACACTTTGTATTCTTATTAGAGGAGTAGGGAAGTCCGTACTGGTGGGAAATATCAATATTTGGATTTGCCGATTAGAAACTATCCTCGCCTGGCAACAACAACTACAGAATCTTCAGATGACTAAGGTATGGCGTTCTGGACCTAAAAATTATTACACTTCAAAAGGATAAATATTATATGAGGCTCCTGTCATAAAAAGATTTTCTTGCTAATTGAAACATTAATGATGGTTACCAGAGGCATAGGGGGAAGGGAATTATTCACAGTCTAGAACAGGGGTGGTGAACTTTTCTGTCAAAATGTATAACATCATTTGCAGGCCATACAGAATAAGCAACTTAAAAATTAGCCTGCTGTATATCGTCAAGGACTTCTGGTGTGGTGTTGTAGGATCAGTACTAAACTGTGAACCACAAGGTCTGCTGTTCAGAACCACCCTTGGGAACCCTTGGAAAGGGCCACTGTGAATTGGAACCAGTTGGCGGCACTTAACAACAACAACAATGTGATAACTGGAGTCCTGGTGTAGCGCTCCAGGTTAATGCGTTGGAATACAAGGTTGGACAATGCGGTCAGCAGTTCAAGTTCATCAGCCACTTCTCAGAAACCCTATACAGGGTTGCTATGAGTTGGAAACGACTCTACAGCACTTCACAACAACAACGTGTGGCTGGAGTCCAGGTATGGCACTGTGGGTTAATGCGCTTGACTGCAAGGTCGCTTTGAACCATAAGGCTAGCAGTTCAAGATCACCAGCCTCTCCTCATAAACCCTCTACAGTGTCGCTATGGGTCGGAACAGACTCAATGGCACTTAACAACAGTAACAACAAAATATGATGGCTGGAACTGCAGTTGATTTGGCAGGACCAGACCAAATGCTTTCTAGGCTGTTATATGATCCTAAAGGAGTTCTGGTAGTGTAGTGGTTATGAGTTGAACTGCTAACCTCAAGATTAGCAGTTTGAAACTACCGGCTGTTCCATGGGAGAAGGATGAAGTTTTCTGCTCCCATAAAGATTTACAGCCTCGGAAACTCTATGCAGGGTTGCTATGAGTCAGAATAGACCCCACGGCACACAACCACCATCTAGGAGCCTTGGTGTGGCGCTGTGAGTTAATGCTCTGGATTGCAAAGTTGGTTTGAATCACAAGGTCGGTGGTTCAAGTTCACCAGCCACTCCTCGGAAACCCTATACAGGGCCACTGTGGGTGGGAACTGACTTGACAGCACTTAACAACAATATGATTCTCAGAGTCCTGGTGTGGCATTGCAGGATAATGTACTGGACCACAAGTTGAGTTTGAACCCCAAGGTCTGCGGTTTAAACCCACTAGCTGTTCCTTGGGAATCCACTAGCTGCTATGGGTCAGAACCAACTCTACAGCACTTAAAAACAACAATATGGCCCTCTGGCCAGAAGTTCCCTACCCCTGGACTAGATGGTAAGGACACATGTTAACATGGGTGATGGGGCCAGCAATATATAACAAGAAGGAGGTAAACAGAGGAAAGATGAAAATAACACACACAGGGAGGAGTGCAAGAGTTAAAGGAAGTAGAGGTAAATACTGTTAACTGATGGCACATGGAGGGGATTGCAGTCATTGTAATGAAGCAAAGTGTATGATTTGCTGAATGTAAAACTGATGATCTGCTCTGTAACTCTTAACTCAATTCACAATTAAAAGTTAAAAAAAAACTATTACACTCCATTTCTGTATAAAAGTCATTGCCTCTTCTAAGTATATGTGAAAGACTCTGATAGCTTTATCAAAGATTTTTTAAAACTTTTTCACAAATATTAATTAAATTATTTTAGGATGGATTGGGACCAAAAGAACCTTTAGTGGCTTATAGTTGTTATTAGAAAGACAGTGGGGATGGTTAATCATTAAACAAAGCTGATCCTATGGGTGATTAGGTGGTAAATTAATTTACCTTTAAAGGAAATTAAATATTCAGGCTGCTAAAATAACATTCAGTAAACTAAGGCTAAATTATATTGCCAGTGATTCTCCATTTACTTAGAAATTGTTGCTTCTCCAGGGTTAGTTTCTTTTTTTTGTCTCCTTTTGCTTTGTAATGTGTATGTGTGTGTGTGTGTATGGTTGATAACAGAGAACAATGTAAAAAGAAGGTACAATTCATGACACTTGTTTTTGTTAATTTTTTTGTTTTAACAATTAGTTTCAGTAAGAAAAATGTTAAGATTGTTGAACAGAGTAAACTGTTTTAGGTTGTATTTTTTTATTTCTAATACTACCAAGGAGGAAGAATAAACTAGAGATATAGATATGTTGTTGTTGTTGTTATGTGCCATGGAGTCAGTTCCGACTTACAGCAACCCTGTACAGGGCTTCCGAGGCTATAAATCTTTACGGGAGCAGAAAGCTTCATCTTTCTCCTGCAGAACAGCTGGTAGTTTTGAACTGCTGACCTTGCGGTTCACAGCCCGATTCGTAACCACTACGCTACCAGAGCTCCTCAGATATAGATATAAATGGCATAAATATAGAGCTCTTCCACACAAAAAATAGTTGTTTTCAAAAGTGACTTTGGGATGCCTTCACTTTTGATCATTTATTAGCCATCTATGAGATACAAGAGGTGGTGGTGGTGGTGGCGGCAGTTAAGTGCCATCAAGTCACTTCTGACTCAATGACCCTGTGTTTCTGAGGCTGTAAATCTTTTTGAGTGCAGAAACCCTCATCTTGTTCCCACAGAATGGCTGTTGGGTTTGAACTGCTAAACTTGTAGTTAGCAGCCCAGCATTTAGCTTGCAGCACCTAGGAAAAAAACTAGTGATAACCCTGTTACTAATCTGTACTTATCATCAATAATCAAACATTAACTGCCAGTAAGAAGCAAATATAAACATTGGATTATTTGTTCTATTGTCTTAAAAGTGTCATTACCAGTAATTCAAATATCTCTATTTTATTTTATTATCTGGGGGCACCCTGCACATAAGTGCGTTGTGTTATGAAGTTCATTTGTTAGGTATTTCAAAGCATAGGGCTTAGTTTGCTAGAGAAGGCAGTGTAATTCACAGACTCTAAAATATGTGTAAGACTTAACCAAAAGCAGCTATGATTGGGCAGAAATAGTATAGAGATAAATGAATAGAAGCTTAGAGACCAGGTGACATGCTACAAATCCTATTTATCCTTAACGTAGCTGATTTTTAGAATGGATAATATCTCAGCTAATGAATCTCTTAGGAGATAGTGAGGTGTGAGGTTGTCAACAATGGGATTTTAATAGTCAGGATCACTAAAGAAGGTAATGTTTGGGAAAGATCAACTCTAACCTTTCAGTTCTGGTTGGGAGGTTCCAGGCAAGTATTAGTTGATGTACATTATTTAGAAAGAAATACAGATTAAAGACAGCCTCAGACAAGTGAGGATAGCAAAGAAACTTGGAGAATGGCATCTGAATGTATCACAAAAGGAAGAGATAGAAGAAAGCAAGGAAAAGTCTTTTCATCTTTGTCTAAGTGGACTATGGCAAAGCAAGAAAGAGACATAAATGTGTGCATCGCTTTTTTAATTTTTAATTACTTCATTTCCATTTCAATTAACTTGGTAGAGGAGCAGAGGGATACTAGGAAATAGAAATTATCTTAAGCTGCCCAAACTACTTGCCACACTCAAAATTAGAAGAAAATGCCTTTTGTTTTTGATCTCCACAACTGCCTCAGCTAGAAGTGACTGGTATTATAATTTTGATCAGGTAGGAATACATAAGGTGCAAAATGAAATTAATGTGAACTGAGATAAAATGACAACACAAAAGTACTTGATCAGGTAGGAAAACATAAGGTGCAAAATGAAATTAATGTGAACTGAGATAAAATGACAACACAAAAGTACTAACTGCTATCGGAGCTCTTCCATTCATGTGTTTTCATCTGAGGCCTTCAAATAATTTCATCAAATACTTGGCATGGGTTTGTGTTGCTTTAAAATCTTTCTTATTGCATACTCTGAATGCCCATCTTGCATCCTCCCTGGTTTATATTATTTACCAGGGAAGAAACAGAGATAAACACCTCTGGCTGTAGCATGGTTTTTTTCTTTTTGAGTAATTGGCACTTCTGAACCCAGTGCCCTGCTTCTGGTCCTGCTTTGTATTATTATTCAGTTGGAGAATTTTTAAATACTGTGAATATTATTTGAAGCCAGTGGAAAGAGATTTTTGCAGTGCCAAAAAATTCTAATGGATTTTATAGATACTAGATTAAGTAGGCTAAGCATTGGACTGCTAACTACAAGGTTAATAATTCAAACACATCAGTTACTTTTTAGAAACCCTGTATGTTGTTGTTGTCATTAAGTGCCATTGAGTTGATTCTGAACCATAGTGATCCTGTTACAGGTTTCTGAGGAGTGGCTGATAACCTTAAACCGCTAACAGTGTGGTTCAAACTGACTTTGCAGTCCAGCACATTAACCCACAATGCCGTACTATAGAGGACTCCATATACAGGGTTGCTATTAGTTGGATCTGACTCGATGACACCTAACAACACTTAACAGCAACAACAAAGATTAAGTAAGGAGGATTCTTGGTTGTGCAATGACTAAAGTACTCATCTGCTAACCAAAATGTTATCAGTTAAAACCAGCCACTCTAATGGAGAACAATAGATCCAGCACTCTGCTTCTATAAAGATTTAACAGCCTGGGAAACTCTAAGGGGCAGTGCTGCTCTGTCCTACAGAGTCACTGTGAGTCCAAATTGACTCAATGGCAGTAAATTTGGGATTTTTTTGGTTTAGACTGAGTCAACAAAATTAGCCTGCTTAATATGATAAGTCCTGGTCTTATAACCCTCTAATGATGAATTTCTGCCATATGTTATTCATAATCAATTTTAAGATGACACTAATATGTCAGACAGTAGAAAATAGCCAAGAACTTCCATAATCACTGAGAGTCAAAAATCCAGTAGTATTTATTGTAACTAAATTCAACCCAATAACATAGAATGTGGTTGTCAATTTTCTTCAATGATCTAACATTCTTTTTTTTTTTTAATCTAAATTCTCCTAGCAAAAAATAGAATGTCATTATGGGTTGGTATGAAGATAAAACAATATTAGTAGATGTGCAACTATCAAAAAATGAAAATCATTCATGTTTAGATATAATAGCTGAGATTATCTCAAAGCAAGAAAAAACAGAGATGTGGTTTCTTTTTTACAGTTCAGATGATGATATTCTGGAGAGGCTTACTGACAGAGAAAATTAGTTAGCTTATTAGTGGAGTAACTGAGCTAGAAGTGCAGGGTGACTTCTAATATACTGTCTAGAAAAAGATTTTCTGTGCTAATTCATATTTGAATGGTAAGATACAGTTTAGATCAGTATATTGGAATTTCTACTATATTCTCTTGTTTACAGTTATGTTGTTGTAAAGTGTCTAAAGTAACTCATAGCTGCACTATATAGGGCTTCAGAGGCTGTAAATCTTTGTGGGAGCAGAAAGCCTCGTCTTTCTCCCACTGAGTGGGTAGTGGGCTCCAACCGACAACTTTGTGGTTCACAGTCCAGTGATTATACTATAAACCCAACATTCTCCTAATTTATAGTCAGAGTAGGACTGCAAATCTGGACTCTGTCAGAACCAGAAGCCAAATTATTGTATCAGCATGTATAGCAACTTACTAAAATCTAAGATTTCTTTTCTACCACTTTATACCACCTTAAGCTCTCTGACTTAGCAATAGAATTTTTATGAACTCCTGTCTGGTATAGAAATTTCTCTCATTATGAAGAAGAATGAATCACCTGCTCAGAATAAGACTTAATTCTTCTAAAAGCATTATGACTATTAGATGGGGATAAATTTACATGTGTATTGTTTTTTTATATATTCTCTGCCATATGCTAGACAATAAAGATGAAATTACTGGCTAAATCTTGAGTAAAACATGTTTTGACTAGTCAATAGTGAGCATTCATTCATCTCTTCATTCATTCAAAGAATACATGCTGTGTACCATACGCACTGAGCTAGATGCTGAGAACATGATGCTCTGGGATTGTGCACAATAGCCCACATTGAGACCTCATCACTGCCGGAAGAGTGCTTCATAGTCTAGTTGTGGAGACAAATATAAACAAGTGTAATAAAAGTGAAAAGTGCAGTGCCATTGTATTTTAGAGATGAAAGGTCCATGGAAGTACTGATGTATCCTATATAAACTACACAATCATGCCGAAAACATTAGATTCCTTCATCAATTGTCAGCAAATAAAGAGCACAGCTTTCAATATGGATTGCATCTCAATGTAAAGAAAAAAATCCTCACCACTGGACCAATAAACATTCTTATCAATGGAGAAAAGATTGAAATTTTCAAGGACTTCATTCTTCTTGGATCAACTATCAATACTCACAGAAGCAGCAGTCAAAAAATCAAACAATGTACTGCATTAGGCAAATCTGCTGCACAAGACCTTTTTAAAATGTTGAAGAGCAAAGATGTCAGCTTGAGGACTAAGGTGCACCCCACCCAAGTAATGGTATTTTCAATAACTTCATATGCATGTGAAAGCTGGACAGTGAATAAGGAAGACCATAGAAGAATTGATGCTTTTGAGTTATGGTGTTGGAGGAGAATATTACAAGTGCCATGGGCTACCAAAAGAACAAAAAAAATCTGGGTTGGAAGTAGTGCAGCCAGAGTGCTCCTTGGAGGCCAGGATGGCCAAACTTAGTCTCTCATACTCACACATATTGTCAGGAGGGAGCAGTCGCTGGAGAAGGATATCATGTTTGGTAAGGTGGAGGGTCAGAGAAAAGGAGGAAGCCCCCAGTGAGATGGATTGGCAAAGTAGCAGCATCAATGGACTCAAGTGTGGCAACAATTGTGAGGTTGATCCTGTACTGGGCAGTGTTTTGTTCTCTTTTACATAAGGTCACTATGAGTCGGTACTGACTCAAAGGCACCTAACAACAACAACATTGGGTATCTAACAGCGTGTCATACACTTTGATAAACTAGAAGTGTAATTAAAACCCACCCATCAATATTAAGTCCATCCTTTTAGTGAGCCATTTGGTTGTATAATAAGTAGATGCACAACAGTTTATATTTTCAAAGTGCTAAGAAAGTATTTCTATAGGTAAACTACAATAGGGAAAAACTAAGAAGAAATGGGTAAGGCACGTTGTTCCTCCATGTTCATTCACCTTTCACTGTAACCTACTCATTCTAGAGGTAAGAAGTCTCTTAAGACCAAACTCAAGCAATTTCATTAATTCAAGCCTGAAATATACCATAAATGTTCATTGTATGCAGTACTACTAGGGTTATTGTTGTTAAGTGCCGTTCAGTAAGTTCTGACTCACAGAAACCCTGTATAGGGTTGCCAAGGAGTGACTGGTGAGTTTGAACTGCTGATCTTGTGGTTCAAACCGACTTTGTAGTCCAGTGTTTATCCTATGGCACCACACTAGGATTAGAGTAAAAAAAAAAAATCAAAAGGAATGACCTTTATGGATATAAGAGTATTTGGAGACCAATGTAATAATAATAAATTATTGAACACATATGAGAAGACTGCAGATGTGTAAATGCATGCCACCTCAGTTTAAAAGGTGGCCAGAATGCGCTGTGATTAGAAACTGGCTGGGATTGAATAGTCTCATCACTAACTTACTCTTTGCCCTCCTACTAAATCTATTAAATACTCCAGTCTGTTTTAAGAGGTTCTTCTAATGAGAATTAATGCATGCAGTTTGAGATAACTTAATTGAGCACTAGAAAGTCTAAGATGGGTATGAACTGAACTAGATCCAGGGCTGCCCTAGATCGACCTTCAAAGACGTTATTTCTTGAACTAATTTGGAGGCTAGTACTCATCTCTCAGAACAAAATACAATTATACCTGATTTTTGTTCTCTTTTACAGCAGTTTTAAATTTTTCTATAGAACACACACACACTCTTAGCCTTACACTAGAGTTGTTAAGTGCTGTCAACTCATTTCCAACACACAGCGACCCTCTAAACGTTTTCCAAGGAGTAGCTGGTGAGTGCCAACAGTCAACATTGCAGTTCACACCAACCTTGAAGTCCAGCACATTAATATGGTTTATAACTGTGAAAACAAGAAACGTTAAGCTAGAAAGAACTTTAAAGGTAATTTAGCCTACCTCCCCTAGTAATTGAGTTGAAGTAACTGTGACCTGTTAATGCTAAGGTACTACTGCCCAACTGTAAGAGTGGCATGGGTGTCGCAGCTGACCTCCTTTGACTTCACAAGATGGAAGCAGAAACAAACTCAACATCTGCTCAAGGTCTATTCCTATGAGACAGAGGCCAGACATCCCTCTACCCTCAATTAAGTTGACTCTAACTGCATGCCTTAATTTAAATGAGAAGAATCTCTTAAAACAGACTGAAGTACTTAATGGATTTAGTAGGAGGGCAAAGAGTGAATGTTTGAATGTTTGATGAGAATACCTGATCCCAGTTCAGCTTCTAACCACTAACAAACTGATGTAGCACTGGAAATGTTCACTCAACTATGCCAAGAAATTTGCAACACAGCTGCCTGGTCAACTGATTGGAAGAGATCCATATGTGTACCCATTCCAAAGAGAGGTGGCCCAACGGAACCTGGAAATCACCAAACAATTTCATTAATATCACATGCAAGTAAAATTTTGCTGAAGATAATTCAAGAATGGTATATCACAGTACATTGAAAGAGAACTGCCAGAAATTGAAGCCAGATTTAAAAGAGGACATGGAACCAGGGATATTATTGCAGATGTCAGATGGGTCTTGGTTGAAAGCAGAGAATATGAGAAAGATGTTTGCTTATGCTTTATTAACTATGCAAAGGCTTTTGACTGAGTGGATCATGACAAGCTGTGGATTACATTGCAAAGAATTGTTCTTGATTGTACTCATGAGGAACCTTGTAGATAGAACAAGAGACAGCCATTCAAACAGAACAAGGTTGATTGTTCATACTCACCAGTCGCTCCTCAGATACCCTATACTGGGTTGCTATGAGTCAGAACTGACTCTACAGCACTTAGCAATAACAATGTGATAGTCTAATACTTCCTCTGAATGTTCAAAATGTATCTGGTTCACACAGTGGTATAGTGATGGTTGTGTCTGTTTCAACTCACAGCCAACCCTGTATAGTGTTTCAGAGACTATAAATCTTTACGGAAGCAGAAAGGCTCATTCTTTCCCCTGCAGTAGTTGGTGGATTCAAACTGCTAACATTGCAGTTAGCAGCCCAACATGTAACCCACTATGCCACCAGAACTCTTTAGTGGTTGTTGTTGTGTTTAAGTGTCGTCAAGTTGATTCCAACCCATAGCAACCCTGTATAGGGTTTCCAAGGAGCAACTGGTGAGCTTGAGCCACCAACCTTGCAGTTCAAACGGCTTTACAGTTTGCCACATTAACCCACAGTGCCACACCAGGACTCCTTAGTGGTAGAAGACATAAAAAGGGAAGATAAGACAAAGAAGATCTACATTTTATTTGTAGTTTCTGTTTTCTGTTCATGTCACCTAGAGCACATCACTTCTGCTTGTGTGTCCATTTCTTTATTTGTAAAATAGGAACAAACCTCTGCTTTACGTACCTTGTAGCTGACATGTTGATGATGTGATCATGCAGACAAGCACTTTATGAACTGTAAAGTAATATTTTATATTGTTGTTGTTGCTGTTAAGTGCCATTGATTTGGTTCCACTTCATAGTGACTCTGTATAATAGGGTTTCCAAGGAGTAGCTGATGGGTTTGAACCGCTGACCTAGTGGTTCACAGTCCATTGCTGATCCTACAGTATCATACCAGAAGTCCTTTTATATTGCCATATTTTGAAGTCTTTATTCTAGCATAGACATTAAATTCCACTCTAAATAAATGCTAGGTGTCCTATTGTAGTGCTATAGGATAAGTATTGGACTACTAGCATCAAGGTCAGTGGTTCAGATTCACCAAGCATTCCATGGAAGCCCTACACAGCGTTGCTATGAATTAGACCGGACTCAACAACAATAACAAATGCTATTGTTTTTTGTGCTGTTAATTAAATGATATCAATATTTTTCTTTCAGCAAGTGAACAATGGCCTTACTCTTAGTGATCTTCCTTTACACATGCTGAACAACATATTATACAGATTCTCAGATGGATGGGACATCATAACTTTAGGTCAAGTGACTCCAACGTTATATATGCTCAGTGAAGATAGACAATTGTGGAAGAAACTTTGTCAATACCATTTTGCCGAAAAGCAGGTAAGGAACGATGACAGAGATGTTTTCTTGCAGATTCCATGAGTTTAGTAAATACTTCTTACAGTTCTCACTGAGTTGCTTTTCCAAGCACTCTTCTTCAAGTCCTTTTTTCCCCAAGTACATTTTTAAAGAATCCAGAATAATCATAATTCATTAAAATTGCTTATATTTCTTCTATAGATCATAAGGATTATTTTTCACATGTACAAAAATCTTTGTGTTAAAAGTAGCCCAACACTAAACAATAAAACAAAAATTTAGATCTTTTGTTGCCTATTTTAAAAATAATGGTATAACAAAATATTGATTTATTTTCTTTTCTCCTTAATTTGATGAATCAAATCCTAGTTCTGCCTCTATCAAGACATAATGTATTTTTTTAAACTGTGCATCTTTTAAAAAGTTATTTTTACTGTTTTGAGACTTTGTTTTCTGTCATCAATTGATAGCACACCATTCTTCAATTTCCAAAGAATACTTCTTCTCCTTTCTATATTTCCTACTGCCTTTAAGAACTGGTTGTGGGAACCAGCATAAAGCATGTGTTCTATGTAGTTTCTAGGGGTCTTCTCTCATGCAGTTTGCTTATTCATGATCCAAAGTTAAATTTTATTGCTCCTATTTCTAGATCACTGCAGAAATCATTCGTTCACTCATTTGATGCACAAATACTTAGTGAGTGCCTGTTTTGCACAAGGCAGAGTGAAAGGCAAGGAAAACATAGTAATGCACAAGGAAGATGTCCTTACTTTCATAGAGATCACTGTCTAGAGGGGCTTATGATACATATGTAGTATCATTGTAAATATTTCAGAAGTGGGCATTGTGTACTCTTGGTGGACAGGCCAGGGCTAAGGGAAATTCCTTGAGAAAATGAAGGTACTATAGGCAGTAATCAGAGGCAAGAAGATTCCAGGCAGAGATAACAATTTGTGTAAAGACTCTGAAATGAAGAGGAGCGTTGTACACTTGATTCGGAAGACAATAACTGTGATAGGAATGTGGATGTTGAGGGGAAAATGACATAAAATGAAGTTGGTGCAATAACCAAACTAGATTATGCAGACCTTACCCATTAAGAATCTGAGTTTTTCTTCAAAGAACTTAGAAAAGCCATTGAAGGGTTTTGAGCAAATTTCAGGTTTTTTGTATTAGCTAATAATTATTTTGTTGCTATTGTTGATTCAAAGCAAATAAATACTAATTCAAGTGTCTACATGAACAGTTTCATGAGATTGATTACATTCTGCAGGTTGTGCCACCATCCTCACCCTCCTTTTCTGATCGGTTCCTTCCTCATTAACATAACTTCACTGCTCCCTCAGGTTCTTGTCTATGCTTTCAAGTTACTGTGATCAGTTTGATCATATATAGATAGATCTTGAAAAAGCACAATGCTCAAGATCCTTCTTGCTCTTCTTTGAGGAATGAACTGAAGGAAATGCTCATTCAGAAACTATCAAAGAAAAACTAAACAGACTGTCATAAGAAGGAGTGTTGGCTAGGTAAATGTAGAAGTGGACAGATATGAAAGCTATTTAGGAAGTAAAATTGATAGGATTTAATTCTTGATTGGATATGGGGTTGAAGAGGAGAAACAGTGTTAGTTAGATTGCTGGCTTGATGTTGATGAGTTATAATTTTGGACAGGCTTCAGTGTCATGCCTTTCAAATATCTAAGTGAAAAAAGTCACATAGGCTGTTGGAGATTTTGAGGAAAAAGCTAAGACATAAATTGAGATATAAAGTGGTTTGGAAGAAATGGGCATGGATGCACTTTTCCAGTGAGAAAGAATAGATTGAGATGAGAAGGCCTGGGCAGAGTCTTGAGGAATTTCAGCATTAAGGGTTAAGTAAAGGAGCAGAAGCTAAAAATGACTAATGTGAAAAGGTACTGCAGAGTTAGGAGGAAAAACAAGATATTGACATTCCACAGAATTGAAGAAGAGTGTCCAAAGATGGAGAAAATGTCAGTCCTAGTTTGGAGCAATGTAGGATAAGCACTGAACTGCTAACCACAAATTCAGCAATTCAAGCCTACCAGCTGCTCCTCATAAACCTGAGAGTCGGAACAGACTAAATGGCACTTAACAACAGCAACAGAGATTAATTAAGGCTAAGACTAGAAAATGTGCATTTGATTTAAATACCAGAGAGGTTATTTGTGGCCTTAGCAGAAACTGTTTTCAGTGGACTTGTTAGGTAGGAGCAAAGAAATTCACATATTAATTTAATCAGAAAAGAAATTAGATTGAATTCTAAAAGTCAGCATATGAAGTGGTGGCGGTGCTAGTTCCGACTCATAGCGACCATGAAAAGGGTTTCTGAGGCTGTAAATCTTATCGGAGCCTAAAGCCTCATTTTGCTCCTGTGGAATGGCTGGTAGCTACAAAGCTGCTGACCTTGAGGTTAGCAGCCCCACTCATAACCACTACACTACCAGAGCATACGAAGTAGAGGTGGGTTGAATTTTTTGAAGGCAAGAGTTAGAACCCAGGAAAAGAGGATGAATTAATGTGTATATGGAGATGAGAAAGGTGGTACTCTCTGTTTACACAATTTACCTTATAACCTCCCTCTCATTTGGCACTGATGCTGTACAGAAGAGAGGAACCTCAGTAGAATTCATGTCTGTATTGGAGTACTCCTTAGCTTGCTTTTTGTCATCCTTGGAAACCTTATACAGGCTCGCTATGAGTTAGAACTGATTGATGGCACATAATAACAACAACAAACCATCCTTATGGAGTCCTGGTGTGGCACTGTGGGATAAAGCACTGGCACGAAAAGTCACTTTGAACCACAAGGTTCGTGGTTCAAACTCACCAGCTGCTCCTTGGAAACCCTATACAGGTTGCTGTGAATCCAACTTGAGGGCAATTAACAATAACAACAGCAGCCATCCTTATACCTCCATTACTATGTTCAGGCCTTAACTATTTACCAAAGATATTAACGATAGAGACTGTCTAAGCTTCTTTTATAAATCTATATTCTAAACATAGTCTAAGAATATCCATTGACTGTGAGTTATTTGCATTTGTGAGTTCATTTTATAAATGAGCCACTATAAAGAAGTTGTATGTTCGACACCAATATTTAATGTCATACCAGAACACCCAAGAAACCTACTGTCATTGAGTTGATTCCGACTCATAGCAACTCTGGGTAGTCTGTAAATCTTTATGGACCAGAAAGCCTCATCTTTCTCCTATGGAGCAGCTAGTGGGTTTGAACTGCTGACCTTGCAGGTAGCAACCCAGTGCTTATCCTACAGTGCCACCAGTGTTTCCACACCAGAATAATATAGATAGCAATTGGCACCTACAGGTGCACCTTTTTTAGCACATATTTCCTTGGAAAACACAGCATCAAAAAATAAAATACTTCTTTAGGGCTCAGTAAAAATAAGATCCTGAAAAAAGGGCAAGTATATTAAAGTAACATTATGAAAATGACATGGATTAGGATGCACCCTCCAAGTTAAATTTTAAGTGAAATGGAAAGGTTGGACTGATACAAATAATCTAAAATAATTTTGGAAGGAGAAGCTAATTAAATACTGTTGATTTGAGCATCTTGTGGATATTACATTTGAGTTTTTTAAAAAATTACAGTTGATTATTTAGGGGAAAAGTAATGTGGAGGCCAAGAAAATTCTCCATATAGTTGAATGAATGTTAGCATAGTACAGAATTAATGAGAAATACAAGTAACATTCAAATAGTTCTTTTTTACTCCCTAGGAGTTAATTTTGAACAGTTATTGAAGAATACCAAAATTAATATAAGTAGTCCTGTAATTATTTTTCAAGGTTGCCTTAAATTTTACTAGAAACAATTTCCTCATTGATAATCATCATAATTTCAAAGCAAAGTACTCAAAGCCATGATTGAAGATTGAGTATTTTATCCAAATGATTTTTTTTTTAGTTGTAGAAAGTGACATGCTTATTACAACAGCAAAATATCATAAAGACTAAGTACAGTGTTAAAAAGAAAAATAAAGTGTGAAAGTCACCTACCACACCTGAAGGGTAGCCACTAGAAATAGCTTAGTACATGTTGTTTCCAGATTTTATACAAGCATACTTATAAAATTGATCTCTGTATTTTATAATTGAAATCATTACTCTCTTATTTTTCGTAACAGCTTTATTGATGTATCATTCACATACCATACAGTTAACACAATTAAAGTGTATGGTTCAGTGGTTTCTAGCATATTCATATAGTTGTATAATCAATACTATCATTAATTTTAGAATATTTTATCATCTCAAAAAACTCCTGTACCTTTCAACTATCACTGTCCCTCCACCACCACCCTACAGCGCCCTCACCCCACTCTATCCTAAGCAATTACTGCTCTACATCTTTTTGATATCAATGTACATATTTGGGATATTTCATATAAAGAATTCACATAGTACATGATCTTTGTAATTGACTTCTTTCACTTAACATGTGCATTTAAGATCCATCATGTTATAGCATATATCAATACTTCATTTGTATAGCCAAATAATAGTTCATTTTGTGACTATACCACATTTTGTTAACAACACTTATCAGTTGATGGACATTTGGGTTGTTTCACTTTTTCGTTCTTATGAAGAGTGCTGCTATGAATATTTATGAACAAGTTTTTATATGGATATATGTTTTCATTGACTAGAATTGCTAGGTTGAATATTTTAAATTTTTGAGGAACTGCCAGACTGTTTTGCCGGGTGGCTCCACCATTTTAAATTTGTACCAGCAATGTATGAGGGTTCGTTTCTTTACACCCTCATGGTGGTGGTGGTAGTGATATGCCAGGGAGTTGGTTTCAACTCATAGCGACCCTGTATAGGGTTTCCAAGGCTGTAAATAGTTACCAGAGCAGAAAGCCTCATCTTTCTCCTGCGGAACCACTGGTGGTTTCAAACGGCTGACCTTGAGGTTAGCAGCCTGACTTGTAACCACTACACTACCAGAGCTCCTTCACATCCTTGTAAGCTCTTACTATTATCTGACTTTTGTATGTTTACCATCCTAGTGAATGTGAGGCGGTATCTAATGGTGGTTTAGATATGCTTTTTCCTGATGACTAATGATGGTGAGAATCCTGGTGTGGAGCTTTAGGATAGGTTCTGAATTGCAGACTTCAAGATCAGTGGTTCAAACCCACCAACCGCTCCTTGAAAACCGTATACAAGGTCCCTGTGAGTTGGCACCAGCTTGGTGGCACTTAACAATATAATGATGCTGAGCATCTTTTATATGCTTGATGGAAATTTGTGTATCTTTTTTGAAGAAATTTCTATCTAGATATGTGATGAAAATCTGTGTTTCTTTTTTGAAGAAATTTCTATCTAGATACATTTCCTATTGTTAAACTGGGTTATTTGTCTTTTTATTACTGAGTTATGCTTTCTCTTTGTCCTAGATGTTGTTAAGTGCCATCGAGTCAGTTCCGACTCAGAGACTGTATAGGGTTTCCAAGGAACCACCAACCTTGTGGTTTAAACTGACCTTGCAGTATAGTGTTTTATTCTAGAGTGCCACACCTGTACTCTTTAGGGTTTCTGAGGCTTTTTAAAATCTTCTCAGGAGCAAAAAGTCTCATCATTCTACTACAGAGTAACTGGTGGGTTGAACTGCCAAGTTATCATGTAAAGCCACCATGCTCCCCTTTTCCTAGATACTAGTCACTTATAAGATATTTGATTTGTGTGATTCATTTTTAATTTAATGATATGAATGTACATCTTTCCAGACTAAAATATTTAAAAATTTTAACAGTTGCTTGATATTCTATTGTAAAGACATGCTATAATTTGTGATTAGTCCCTTATTGATTTAATGCAAGTAAGTTGTTTAATTTCAAATAATTATATGTTTCATGTACTACATTTAAAACTGATTCTGTACTTAATCCTATGCTTGAAAATCGTCCTGTGCTAATCCTGAACAGAATTTTGTTTATGTCTAGTTTTGTAGACATTTGATCCTTTCAGAAAAGGGCCATATCGAATGGAAGCTGATGTATTTTGCACTTCAGAAATATTACCCAACAAAAGAACAATATGGAGACACATTGCATTTTTGTCGACACTGCAGCATTCTCTTTTGGAAGGTAATCATTTCAATTATACTAATGGAATGTGTAGACTTAAATTTGGTGAAATGATCTATGTATTTTATTTTACTGTGAATGATGTGGGTTTACATGGGAGAATATCAGTTTTACATTCATCCTATCATATTTCATTTCATTGCAATGATTACAATCCCCTCCATGCATCATCAAACAACCAAAGGGTACATACACCCCACAGGCATGCCCCCAGGCTGTCAGCACACAGCCCCTCTCCCTCCCTGAGTCCAGTATCCCCAACCCCTCCATCTGTCCACATCATCATCTCTGCCTCCATTTCCGGCATCACTGCTTCTCTAGGTAGGGTCTGCATCCGCTCTTCTCATTTGATGGTCCCAGGGACCTCTGCTCCTGAACTGCAAAGGCAGTCAGTCCCTTCCTTTTGTTACAAAACATCTACCTTTACATTTCTGACCCTCATAGTCAGTCCTGATAGCAATTATTCACTATTGTACCTCAAGAGTCTTATCCCCATCTCCTTTCATTAGCCCCGTCCCAACAGATTGGAAACCATTCAGTGGAGATTCTACCTTCCCTTGCCCCATCTAGAACTAGGCTCCCTCCTGAAAGCCTGTAAACCACTCACTTCTTGCCTTTGTAGCCCCCATTTTGGGTAGCCAATGTCTGAGTTGCCCAACTCTGTGTACTGAGGGGATGGGAGTGATCCTTGCTATAAAGATTTGTTTCCTTTTTTGAACGACTACATCCATAAATGTCGCTATGGGTTGGAACTGACTCGATGGCACTTAACAACAACAACAACAACACATCCATAAATACAGGTAAAGTTCATCAAATTGTAGTGGGTTACTTTTGTTTTCCTCTTCTTTCTTCTTCTAGTTGAGTTTTGATCGTCCAGCTGTTGAAGCCAGGTCAAGTGGGTATTATCTGCAAGTATGGGTGTTCTTGTGCATCTCACCTCACTTCATATCAGCTGGATGCTTCGCTCTCCGTTCTAGTCCTCTGTGGCAATGTCACTGCCTCTGGGCCTAGGAGTCCCCGGCTCTTGCTATACTACTGGCCAACCAGGTCTCTACCTGAGTTCACAGCAGTCTATTGAATGTAGTCCAAATTAGCTCCCAGCTTCATTGCTGTCCTTCCCCTTCTTCCCCTCATCAGTGGGTGACCAACGTAGTCACCAGCCAGACCACATGCCTGCTCGTGTATTCCCCTTGAGTCTTAATATTGGAAGGGAGTTTGCTCTGAGGGGACCCAACCATTTGCCTTGATGGTTCCCAGGCGAACAGCTTTCTTGTTCTTGTAGTAGTCAGTCAGACTGCCATTATTGTTTTTGATTTTTCCTGCTGTTCTTTCTCGAAGGAAGTATCTTATGTTCTTCTAGCTGCTCCAGGCTGGTTGACTTGCCCTTTCAAGTGGAAATTTCCCACCTCAGATGATTCTGGATGGGGTTCAGGATTCCACCTATGGTTTTATGCAGTGCAAAGGCTCCACAGGAAGCCTCTTTCACTAGGCAACTTCTATCCCCCTTTAAGGCATTCCAATCAGTTATAGGCTGAAGAAGGACTTACAAGCTTTCTATTGTGATGTTTCTAGCTATTCCTTTCTCTCCCCCTCAAGTGTCTATTTTACAATGGTAGGCAAGGGAAAACAAAATTCAAAAGACAGCCAAGCATCTTAACATTATTCCCCTCTTTTACCCATTCAAACCATGCCTCAATCCCTGTATCCTGGAGCCCTGTTTTTCTAAAGTTGTGCATACATCATCATTTACCTCTGACCCACTTAGCCCATGCAAACTTACTTAACTGTTCTCCCATCAGCCTTCTTCTTCCATTCCTCTCCCATTTCTTATGTATTGCCCCCCTACCCACCCCCCAGCACCCAAGCTATCCTATGTCTATTCCCTACCCTGTGCTCTGTCTTCCCCCTTTTCCCTCCCTCCCCTCACTCATCCCATACATCCCGGTGGTCAGCAAATATATATGTATTTTATATATATATATATATAATTTATTATTAGTTTATATATATATAATTTATTTTCCCCCTTTTAGGATGGGTTCTTTTTCTTAATCTTTTACAATAATGGTCCTATGCAGTATTTCTCCTTTTGTGACTGACTAATTTCACTCAGCATATATTTTAAGTGTAAAGGTAAAATAAAAACTAGAAAATACTGTAATGTGATAAGAAAGTTAATGAGATATATTTCAGCAAATATTGGGAATGGGGAACAGGTGTTTATAAAAGTAAAATGCACAACTTGTGTTTGAATCACCAGTGTTGAAAACTAAATTGCTCTGTTAACTTTTTTTTCCTCCTCAGAAAACTGTTTTCACTTTTATAGATGTTAGTATATAATTGGCATATCCTAGAGATCAAGTGAGATGAAAAAGCTACTTTCTGGCTCTCTCTCCAGATATTTGAGTCCTAAGGCTTTTACTTGGAGTCCTGGTATGGTGCTGTGGGTTAATGCGCTGGATGGTAAAGTCGGTTTGAACTGCAAGGTCAGTGGTTCAAGCTCATTAGCTGCTCCTCAGAAACCTTATACAGAGTCGCTATGGGTCAGAACTAACTTGATGGCACTTAACAGCAACAACAAGACTTTTACTCACAGCAGGCTCTAGAATGTCTATGCCAATCCTGTATCTGAAAATAAAGGGTTTTAAGATTTTTTTTCACCCTCTTCTTTAAACCTAAGGAAGAATTCTCCTGACTTATTTCCCAAAAAGGAGGCCTGCTAGGTACAGTGGTTAAACACTTGGCTGCTAACTGAAATGTTGACAGTTCAAACCCACACAGTGGCTCTGTCAGACAAAAGATCAGGTGATTGACTTCCACAAAGATTGTTGTTTTAAGTGCTGTTGAGTTGGTTCAGATGCATAGTGACCCTGTATAGGGTTTCCAAGGAGCAGCTGGTGGGTCTGAACTGCTGAACTTGTGGTTCACAGTCCAGAACTGATCCTACAGTGCCACACAAGGAGTCCTTTTACATCCTGGGAAAACCTATGGGCAGTTCTCTGTGAAATTGAGTTGCTAGTTGAAAACCTGTTTGGCACCTAAACAACAACAAACAATTCCCCCAAAAGTTGGCCTCTACCCTAAAACTGTCATAATTTAAATTCTTCATTTCCTTTTATTGTTTTCAGAGATAATCCCCCACCAGTGTCTTCAAATGGCAGTTTATTAGTTCTTAGCCTGTGTTTTCTCAGAGTCAAATTCTTATAGCAAAGAGGTAAATAAAGAAGTTACTCCACTGATACAAGGTCTTCAGTCACAGACTTTAAAATAAACATGTCATTTTCTCCTGTATTTAATCAAAACTTAACAAAGCAATCAATATTTGTCTACAGGTCTGATTCTTGGGTGAAAAATTTTTAGAAGCACCTTCAGTATCTAAAGTGTAATTTAGGAATCCATCAACTGCTACTTTCTTATTATTTGCTGTGCTTTTTACTGTCAGACTCTGTCTCTGATAAAAATATTTTCCATAGAAGTAAACCTATATATCATTTATTTGGTGCAGTTTTATTTTCTTACCATGTAAATATGGTTTTACAGTGAATGGGTTTCCATGATTTGGATTTCAATATACAAGGTGACTTCAAAAGTTCATGGAAAATTCCATTTGTCTCTGAAATTTTTGAATTGCCATCATATTTGATGTGACATTTTACTGGAGGGAAAGAAGGAAACCAGGCCCCTAAGGTGACTCAGCCCATGCAGTTCCCCATCTGAACCTGCCAATTCCTTGCCGTTTTCCAAGGGGGAGCAAGGAATACCATCACCCAGACAGATCCACAGTACCAGGAAATTTCAGTCCCTGTCATTCCAAACATGCGTGTCTCTACTTTCTGTGATGTAGAGAGAAGTAACATTTCTGCTTGACACACACCCATTACCTGTTTATTTCTTTGCCTAATGAATTTATTTATTTATAATTTGTTTTCAGGTGGAACATAGCAATCCCAAACTCTAGATTGCTGGAAAAGAGATAACTTTTTTTTTTTTTTCATTTCAAATTACATTTATAAAAAATTGTGACATGCTTTTTATTAAGTTATAACCCATAATTGAGCATAGAGTAAAAAGATTAGTTTTCCATATTTTTTTAAATAGAGCTTTATTTACAATATGAAAGGTACAAAATATCATGAATAATTACTGATGTCTCCATGTGTGAAAAACTTAGGAGATTTTTGTTGTTGTACCTTTATTATTTTATATCTAGGATAACTCCCCAATATTTTAAAATTTAGAAGATAGAAGACATGTTTTATCAGTAGTAAAACTGCTTTGTAGAACATTGTCCTGTAATAACAGGGGGCATTTTGAATTCAGATGTATTCTCACCTTAATACTAGGCACATGTAACTATTTAGTAAATGTCTAATGAATAAGTGAATCAGTAAGTCTGTAAATCAACTATCAGTGATTATAAATATACAGAAATGAGTTCTATTTTGTTTCCTGCTTCTCAAAGGTCACAGAACACAGCATGGGTGAATTGTCAATATATGCCGATGATATGAATAGGAAAAATTAAGACAAAGTGTTTAGGAATCTTGGCTTCTCACCCTAGCAGGGACTGTACTAACCATTCTCTGTGGTTCCTTCTAGAACTAATGTCCTGTGCTTCTCTGAAAAGTATCAATACTGACTGAAAACACATGAGGATATGTCTTTAGTGACATAGTAAGAGTGTTGATGTTAAGTGCCATCAAGTCAATTCCAACTCATAGTAACCCTGTATAGGGTTTCCAAGGAGCGGCTGGTGAATTTGAACTGCCAACCTTGTATTTCAAACTGAATTTGCGGTTCAGTGCTTTATTCTACAACGCTACACCAGGACTCCATAGTAAGAAGAGTTGTTGTTAAGTGCCATCAAGTTGATTCTGACCCATAGCGACCCTGTATAGGGTTTCTAAGGAGCAGCTGGTGAGCTTGAACCACCGACCTTGCAGTTCAAATGACTTTGCAGTCTGATGCATTAGCCCAAAGAGACATGCCAGAAGAGT